TAACAGCTTCTTTTTGCTTTCTGACCAGGGCCCCTGTTTTCACTTTGCGTGGGGCCCCACACGTCACAGCGGGGTCCTTGCCTTGAACACAGAGATGAACTGACGATCACATGGTCCGGGGTAGAATACAGATGGCTGCATTCACTGTGGCTGCCAGGGACTGTGGAAACACAGGTGGTCCTGCACTGATGGACAGTGGCCTCCTCAACAGCGGAGGCCAGCCCTGTAGCCCGGAGCCTGATTGCCCAGCAGGGCAGGCAGGCAGCGGTGTCTTCACAGGGAGACAGAGGGCCGTGAAGGGAAGGAGGGACAGGCAGGCACTGATCAAATAAACCAGGTGACGTCAGCTGGTAGCAGGTGATGGCCTTGTGGTGGTGTTATGACTTTTCCCTACTCTCAGAGTGTAGTTTGGCTACATTTTTTCCATTATTTGTGTGTGCATCTTGTACTTGATGAATTCTCAGTTGGTATCAATCACATTATTGCAATGATCACTCATTTTCTTCCAGAGAATGTGGGTTACCTTGGATGATAAAAATGGAGCCTTGTGAGTGACTGCTGAGCAGAAATAGTTCAGGAGGGGAAAAAAAGGGAATAGATGCGCTTCTAAGAGTAGGGGACTTGAAGTTGGTTCAAGACCAGCTAAAGCGAGGAACTAGATAGTTTAGTTCAGCTATCCTCTCTCTTTTGTAAGCCACGTATAAGAGTGATCTTCTGCAGATAGCTGTGTCAGTTACTTTTCTTGTTGCAGAGACGAAATGCTCAACACCCAAAGTTACAAGAGGGAAGGTTTATTTAGCTCACAGTTTGTAGAGGTTTCAGGCCATAATAATGTGGCACCAAGGCAGGGTGACCCAGCAAACAGGCATCAGAGAGGCATCAGCAACAGTAGCAAAATAACAAGGCGTGATCACAGCTCTTTCTATTCCTTATTCAGGCTACTTAGGGGCAGGTAGCTTAATCCCAGTGCCCTTCATCCTAGCATTACACGGTGAATCCGGTCCAGCATCAGACCATCCATCCAGATTCAGCCACTTCTGAAAAAGTCCCACCCGTGACCACATGTGGCTTTGGAGGGACATCTAAACACAAACCATAACAATCTCGTATTTACCACCTCTTCCTGGTCCTTACTGTCAGTCTTTTGTGTGGACTGGGGTCCTTATTCAGTATTGGCTAATTGACTAATGGATCCTTGCTCGAGACAGCACATCCCCATCTCCACCTATTTCACGACTGAGGCCTCTCAGTCTGTGTTCTACTACTGTAACAAAATACCTGAGGCTGAGAGCGTAAAACAAGAAGAGTTTTGTGTGTTTCTGTTTTTTGGTTTGTTTGTTTTACTTGGCAGTTTTGACGCCTGAAAGTGTAAGATCAGACTTCACCACTAGTTTGGCCTCTGGTAAGGGTTTTCTGGCCACATCATGACATGGCGGATGGTGCCACATGTGGGAGAGACCACATGGTGAGAGACCTATGGGAGAAAAATTGGAGAAATACACCATTCAAGCCTCCCAGATATCTGCAGAAGGAAACAGACTATTTCAGAGGGACTTAAAGAGTTTCTGAAGCCTAAGATCCACTTCATTTTGGTTGTGATGGCCCTACATTTTCTCTAATAAAAATAAAAAAGTTTTGCTAAAGGATTCAGGGAACATTTGGAATTCTATCCTTGGGTAATATCATCATAATTATTCTCCTTCCCTCTGTAGCATGACAACACAGGAATCCTCAAACATTTTTAATGTCATGGCCCCAGGCAGAAGACTTGCATGCTAGGTATTCAACCTCAGGTTAGGCAACCTCTTTTTTTCTCCCAGGGTCATAAGAGGGACACATGTAAAAAACCCATTCCAGAAAAGCAGAAGCAGAGACAATTTGGGTGAGTGGTCCAGCCAGTCACTTCCACTTTCTGGCTAGTCTAGCTGAAGTCAAGTAGACACGGCCAATTCTTCCATATGTGTCGGTGTGCCTAGGGAACATTAGCACCCAGCCTTCCTGGCTAGGGGTCCTCAGGTCAGGAAGAGAAAATTAAAACACAGTCTGAAGGCCTGCAGCAGCACACGATGTCTGCCCGCCGGGAACAGGATTCAATATCGGGGTGCTCCCATTGCCCAAGAGCCATGCACCCTGTGCTCTGTGTCCTGACATTGTGATTGGAGCAGATGAGCTGTTAAGAGCCCAGTGCTTTCCGGGGTGCTGCACTGAAGGTAGGAGCCTCCTGCTGGTTTCTACCAGGAGCCCACAGCACGCAGTGGGGCCCCCCAGGGACCCTGCTCACATGTGTAGGGTCAGTGTCCATGCCCAGTGATCGTGTTCTTAAAATTCCTAGACATTGTGTGTACCACTCAAGTTTGGAAAGCAGCTTTGGCCCTCGTGGTCCCTTAAAGACAGTATCTCACGTTGGTATCCATGGAGATCGATTCCAGGACCCACTGAAATACCAGAGTCTCCGGATGCTCAAGTGCCTTGTGTAAATGGCGTGGCATTTGTGTGTAACCCCCACACTTGTTTGCTGCTTTAGACTTTGACTCTTGTTTCCGGATTACTTATAAAGCCTGATACAATGTAAATGCTGTGTAAGTAGTTGCTCTACTGTATTGCTCAAGGAACAATGACATTGAAAAAAATCTGTATATATTCAATATAGGCGCAATTTATTTTTACCAAATAGTTTTAAATTTATAGTTGCTTGAATCTGTGCATATAGAGCACGTGGATATAGAGGCCCAACTGTAGTTTCTTAAATCAAATCTAAAGATTGTTTTATAAGAGCATCTAATAATGTATCTGGCAGGGCATGTTGGCACATACTTGTAATCCCAGCACTTGGGAGGCTGAGGCAGGAGGATCTCGAGTTCAAGGTCTGCCTGGGCTACAAAGTCAGTTCAAGGTCAGCCTGAACTACAAAGAAAGACTGTCACAAAAAAAGAGTAAAAACAAAACAAAAAGCCAAACAAAGAACTAATAATATATCTGTAATATCTCTCTCTCTCTCTCTCTCTCTCTCTCTCTCTCTCTCTCTCTAGTTTTTTTGTTACTCTTAGAAAATCTTATTTTTCACTGGACCAGAGGCAGCAGCTTTCAGAGCAGACAGCTTCTGTCTTTTTGCAGTCTGCGCCTGGTATTTTTCTTTGACGTCATTCATTCTCTGGGCCAGAACTTTGACCCATCCCCAAGCCCTTTCCTAGTTGTTCCAGGGGCTGCTGTGGGTGTTGCTGGGCACCCAGAGTGACAAGGCAGGGAACTGTGGGTGCTGGGGTCCTGCATCCGGCCCATGCGGGGCTCCTCACGCCTCTGAATCAATAGGCAAAGACGTGTCGGCCAGAGGGGTTGATCCTGACCACCGACAGGAACCCGGACTGTTGTCCCAGCATGGAGGTGAGGAAGTGTGTGTCCCGGAGATCCCTTTGGACCACCCTCAGTGTCACTGTGCCCTGTGAATAGTCCGTGGAAAACCACCCGATCCGGGCAGGATCGTTAGTGGCCCAGACCTCGCAGTAAGAAAATTCGGGTTCCTCCTCCTTTCTGACAGCAAAGGGGATTCAGGATGGGCAGGGAAGATGGCAGTGATAGGTGTCAGGGTGGCAGCCTGAACCCCGTGCCCATGGGTGCCAGGCAGTGACTGTACCTTCTTGCCTCTCCTGTCTTATTCCCTTTTTATGTAATATATTATGCCACGTGAGTATCACAATTTCACATCCGACGGTTTAAACTAGGTATTTAATTCCATGGAAACAGTAAACCTCACTCCTCCTCTTTGGTACAGTTTTGTTTGTCTACAGCAGATTTCCTCCCGTGTTACACGGAATTCTGCCTCTGTTATTGGTTTTATTTGAACACTAAATGTGATTTATACAGCGTGCACATGTGTGCCGGTTTGATAAGAAGCAGACTCTCGATGACTCACCTTGTGTCTACGTGACTCAGCGTGGGATGCCCGGACATTTTGTTAAACGTTATTCTGAGTGTGTCTGGAGGATGTTTCTTAGTGTAGGTAATATCTGGATGGGTGGCCTGAGGAAAGCAGTTTGTCCTTACTAAGGTCTGTATGGCCGCCATCCAATCCATGGAGGCCCCAGTAGAAGGACAATTCAAAGGAAGAGAGAATTCCTCTCTCTCAGGCCAGCTGTCAGGATGACACATTGGGCTTCACTTCCCCCTTTAGCAGGCCTTACAGCACTGGCCCTGCTGGTCTTCAGGCCTCTGAATTCAGACTGAAAGAATGTCACCTGCTCTCTGGGGTCCCCAGCCTTCTGATGGTAGATCATGGGACTTTTCATCCCCATATTGATGGGAGTCGACCCCGTCTAGATCTATGTCTGTCATCTAGGTTTATCTACCTGCACACACATATCTACCTAGCATCTGCATCTAACCTAAACCTATCCATCTGTCTTCATTACTTTTCTCTGCTTGCTGAGACAAAATACCTGATACTCAAAATGAAAGAAGGGCTTATTTAGCTCACAGTTTGTGGAGGTTTCAGTCCATAATCAGCTGGCTCCAAGGCACAGCGGCACATGGCACAGGGCAACAGTTCATGGTGGCAGAAACCAGAGCAAGCCACAAGAGCAAAACGGGAGGCACGTGGAGAGAAGACTCTGTCTCTTATTTTTTATGTAGGCCACACCCATGTGGGTGTAGCACTCACACCCATGATCCCAGCCTTGGGCCATGAGTCATTCACAAGCTTTAGAAGTCTGCCTCCATGACTGCATGAGGCTTTGGGGGAACACCCAGACCCAAACCATAACACTGTCCATCTTATCTATCTATCTATCTATCTATCTATCTATCTATCTATTTTTCCATGCCTAGTTTGTTTTTTTTTCCTGCACAACAGTGATTAATTCAAGGGCATACCTGGCAGTTGGTTTTAGTATTATTGAATTCCACCTGATTATATACTTTACTTCCAAGAACTCTATATAACTACGGATAAACAAAATTCCTAAAAGCGAAACAGCTGAATTAAAAAAATACGTACAACTCAAAAATTTCAATATTGAAGCAGGAAGTTTTCTTTGCTTTAATTTGATTTATGAGATGTGAGCAGAGTGAGGTTGCTGCTGGGTGCTGAAATCCCCAACCAAAAGCGGGAGGGACGATGACCTTAAGCAGCCAGCTTTCACCTAGAGGGTCGGTGACTTTCGTGTTGCTCTGTATTCCAACAGGAACCTGCCGTGGGACTACAGAAATTCACTTTCTTCCTCTGAGACTCACTTTCTTCAATTGTGTGTGGCTGGCTTGAACAAATTCTTGAGTAAACGTAACTTGGGGACTTGCTGGGGACTTGCAGATGCCTCTCCTCTGTCACAGAGGCACTAGGTCCTGGGCAGGGCTTCAGGACAAAGGGTTTTGCTACTGTAAAATATACTGCAATGAATCATCATTTTCCAGATGCTTGCAAGAACTTTGGAAAGAACATCCACTGGGTTCCTTCCTAGCAGCTGGGTTTGCAAAGGATGTGTGCATTTACAATCCCAGTGACCATTACCAAATTCCTTGCGGGGAGGTTGCACAAATGGATCCCCTCAGGAGAGGCATAGGAGAATACACCCACCAGCCACGCTCTCACCGGTGCTGGGTTTCACCAATTTTTTAATTTTATTTTTGGAGGAAGTGGAAATTCTTATTTTCCTTTATAAAAATACTGCCACTGTGCCCCTGTCATTTATTGAAAGGGCTCGAAAGGTTTGTTCCTGTGCTGCTGCTTCTACAGAGCTTTGAACTTTTCTTGCTGTCCCGCTTCTGCTGGTTCCTTTCTGACCCCCAGAGTCAGAGTGTGAGGGTCCCTTCCTCCTTCTTAGACCGCAGTCCCCTCACCTTCCAGGGCAGCTTCAGGTCCTCCCCTCCTTATAAACGCCCATGGTTCTGGTCCTCCCAGGTCCAAATCCCAAGTCTGATGCTGGTGTGGGCATGGCGGTGGGGAGCTGGAGGGACGCTGGGAGCTCTGGGCCTGCGGCTGCCCCGGCAGGGCTCCTTCTCTCTATTGGAGATAAACTGACATTAGTGTAGTAGCCCTGCTGAGCCGCCCTCCCACCCCTCCAGTGGCGCCTAATCCGCTTGAGCTCTTGCAGGCTGGGCTCCCTTGCATGCTGCCGGCTTTGGAGGACGCAGGTTGCTGGGTGCTGTGCTGCTGACCACGCTGAGCAGGGGCCAGCCTCAGAGCACCAAGAGAGGAAGGAGAAGGGGCCTTGTTGACTCACTTGCCGGGCAGCTGAGTGCCTAGTGACAAGCAGTAAACAAAGGCACAGCAACTGGGCAGTGGCCACGCAACCGGCAGGCTCGGCCCTGGAAAACTGGGCCATAGGGAAGGCCTAGAGAGTCCGGAGGCCTTGGGATGCAGCCTTTGACGCAGGAAGCAGGTACCCTGGGCGTGATTCTCTTTCTCCTGTAAATCGGGTCAAGGGAGGGCAGGTCCCACACAGAGTCAGGTCTGGGGAATCAAGGCAATGCAACTGTGCGAGCCCTGCATTAGGGCCACTTTGAGGGTCACTGAGGCTCAAGTGTTTCAGGCCACAGGAAGGGACTGGCGGACTTGGTATCTGCTTTTGAAGCAGGGTAGGGTTAGACCGAGGGGAGACAATGCGGACTGAAGAGCTGGGGCAACACTTGTTTGGATCCCTGCTTGGATTTTCAGCATTTGCAAAAATTTGAACAAGGCATTAGCTTTCCTGAGACTCCTCATGTGTAAAAGGGGGACACATTTTACACATTACTGCACTGTCCAGGTCACCTGGGTAATTCATGTGAGCACTTGGCATGGGCCCGGACCGTAAGACTTGTTTAATAAATGACAGCTGTCACTATTTTTCAGGCTATTGAAGGAATATCCACTTCTTGCTTAAAGCATATCAGAGATTTAATTCAACAATCTTAGGCTGGTGGACTTCCAGACAACATTTTAAAAGGAAAAAAAAAAAAATCAGTGAGTCACCTGTTTACATATGGATGTTTACAGGAAAGAAAAAACTCAAGCAGAATTTTCAAGTTTAAATAATATTCTTTGTAAAGCAGCAGTCGAATTCAGAGTAAAACTGGGCTTGAGGACAGGCAGAACCAGCTAACTAGGTTGCTAACGAAGCACACCACGCGTAGTGGATCTGACTTGGGTGTGAAGCCAGGTGCCAGGTTCCAGGAGCAACTCTCTCTGTCCATCGGACCCTCCAGGGTGCAGGGGACAGGCAGAGAGAGCATGCCCAGGACAAGTTTCAGTGATCGCCAGTGCTGCAGTAGCAGTGGCCAGGGCTTCTGGGGGACGGGATATTTGAGCACATTTGAACCTTGGTGCATCTAGGGAGAGACAGGAGATAAGGCCCAGAAAGGAAAGGCTTCCTTAGCAGAGGAAAGCAGGTCCAAAAGCCTAGCGCCTGAGTAAGCATTCAGGAGCAGCAGGAAGCTGGGCCCACGCGTGAGTGTGGGTGTTTGGTAAGAAAGGAGGCTGCCAGAGCAGAGCACATCTACTGTGACCTCTGGCCCCTCCCCACTCCCAGTGTTAATGACAGCTGTCAAGGAAAACTGCCATGGGCAGACCCGGTGACTCAGGGTACAAAGGGGATCCATAATTTGCTCCAGGTGAGTCAGGTGAGCCCGGTCTGACTCCTGTCTCCCGGCTGGGTTCTTGGCCCTGAGGTGTCCGGCCAGGGTTCAGCTGCCTCCCTGCCAAGCCCTGGCCTGACGTCTTCCCTCTGGTTACTGACAACCATCCTGCGAATTGTCTCCTTTTCCTTGCCTTGGCCATAGACGTCTTTATCCTTGTGCATCCTGAGTTAAGGTGGTGGCGGTGTAGGTGGTGGAGGAAGGCAGGAAGGAGGTGTGGGGGAGCCGGGAAGGACCAGTTGCGGGCGATGGGAGCGTCGGAACTGATGCCAGTTAAATGGCAAGATTTCAAGACCAAGCTTTGGAGTTCAGTCTTCCGCAGATGAGTGCGGTACAAAGGAGAGTGTGCCAGGTGGGAAATGTGTGGAATGTTCCAGAACATCCCAAGAATTTTGTCTGTCTTCTCTTGGTACCATTTCTGAATGGAACCTGTCCACAGCGTGCGGGCAGCTCTCCCTGGGCTCACTGATTTGCCCAGTCAGGCAGTTGACGGGGACAGAAGGACCACAGGTGGAGTGTCCCCCACCGCATCCCGGAGGAGGGGAGAAACATGGGACGGGTGAAGGGCAAAGGGAGGTGGCTGGAGGGCAGACGGGAGGGACAGCCTGGGGTCCCCCAAGGCTTTGCCAGGAACCTGGGTCTGAGCTGGTCCTGTGCAGAACAGGAAGCTATGGGAGGTTTGAGCATGGAGGAGAAACAGGACGGGATTGTGTTGTAGGAAGAGGAGTCTGTGGGTTGGGGAATAGATTGGGATAGTGGCCAGACTGTATTGGGAGAAACCGTGTGGAAGGGGCAGTAGTGACCGTTTGGGGAGGGACACGGTGGCTTGGGCCAGGGCAGCAGCAGGGGATAGGGTGGTGCTCCTGCAGAGAGGTGGATGGATTTGGGGGAGATTTTGGAAGTGGTTGGGGAGTTGAGGGGCAGAAAGAGATAAGAACAATGTCTGCAGGCGTGGCTAGAGCGGCCAGGGAGGTGACCTCTGATTCTAATTGTGCTGCTATCATGGAGTTCTTGAGGGCAGGCAATTTATAAAGAAGAAAAGTTTTTTTTTTTTCTTTATGCACAGTTCTGGAGGCTGGGAAGACTAAGGTCTAGGGACCGGTGGACTGATTGTCCGGTGATGGTCCAGTCTCTGCTTCTAAGGTGTCACCTTGACTGCTGTGTGCCTTGGAAGGGACAAACATTGTATGCTCCTATAACAGAAGGTAAAAGGGCAGGAATTCGACAGAGTCCCTCCATGAAGCATTTGAAGGACACCCCATCCCATCCAGAAGGGCGAACGCCAGGGGACTCCATGGCCTCCCCAAAGTCCTCCTCCTAGCACTGTTGGGTTGGGAATTGCCATGCAACGTGAGTTTGACGGGGACACATTCCAACCATGGCAATGGGAGTGCTGTGTGTTCCAGTGGGGCCAGGTGGAGGGGAAGGAGGAGGAGGAGAGAAGGTGCTTCACTCTTGAGCATCCATTGAAGACTTCTAAGAGGTGGTTGGGGACACAAAAGGGAGGGAGGTGTGAGCTTGGGGCAGAGCCAGAGGTGATGGGCTGGCAGCTGGTAACTTCAGAGCGCACAGTGCTTCAAGGAGAGACCCCAGGGCAGCAGGAACTCTGACTTTCCTTTATTCATGCCACTTACATTCTTAGCCTAAGTTCCTAGAGGAGCAAGCAGGCGACAGAGGGGTGGGGGGCCCTGGCTCCTCATCTGCATGGCCAGACCCCTCTCTAAATCTGCTGCAGCTGTGGGTCGCTGTGAGGAGTGGCCTCACAGTGGCCTCCTGGATGGGTGACTCGGGGGCCTCTCAATGGTTTCCCGGGCACCTCTTCTGTTTCACGGCAGGGAGGACAGTTGTCTATATTCTTTAAATAAGTTGCATTTCTTCTGTGACATTTCCTGAGTCTCACTTCCCCACTTATCTAACAGTGCTGGGACCCACAAGCCCTCTCCCCATTTGGACAGAAATAGTCACTTTAGCTTGACCTTTGTCCCCTGGCTCTGCTGACTGTTCCCTGCAGCTTATTTGGTAGGTGTCACAGTGGGAAGCGGCTTCCAAACTCCGCCATGAACAAAGCCCACAGTGGAGCTGGGCACAGGACTGCGGCCCTAAAGCCCGCGGGACTGAGAGCTGGGAATTACAGCCACTAACCATGTCCCGCCTCTCCGATCTCATTTCTAATGGCCTGTGTGGATGGACGTATTTGATTGAATGAAACTACTTTGCCCCTAGAAAGCAGCACTGAGCCCTTGGGTGAGAGGGTGAGAATCGATTGCCTTGTCCCAGCCAGGGTTTTGTCTGTCTGTCCATCTGCTTCAGAAGGACAGATGATTGTTCTCGCTGGAAGGCACCCGGAGTCACCTTCGGTACCCACCTTCCCTGGTGCTGGGCGCTGCCCCACCTGCAGTGTCTGTGTGGAGATAGCCGTTGGCTGCTTCCGTGTCCCTAGGAGGGGTAAGGTGGCATCACCGAGGCCAGGGACAGGGCGTGCTGTCGGTTTTAACAGCTGACCCTGAGAAGTCCAGCCCAGCTTCTCTACCACATCAGTGGAAATCGTAAGGGGAACGACTGACCCTCAGCCCCTACCTTGCCACTGTCAGTGATTTAAATTTTGGATGATCCGATAAGCTCTCAATTTTAATTTGCTTTCTCTGGTTTTCTAGACACATACCAAGTCATCTAAACTATATAATTACAAGTTTTGTCCTCTAGTTATTTCTTAACTTTTGAACAACACAGTAAGTTTTCCCCCAATTGATGCATCAGCAGTAGCTCTTTGGGCACTGGGTGTGTGTGCTTTGTCCTAGGCAGTTGCTTATTTTCTTTTATATTTCCTTTTCGCGTACAGATGGGTGGAAAGTTGTGAAGACAGTGCAGAGGAGTCCCCTGAACTCTTCTCCCAGCTCCCCCCAGTGTCTCCCCTTTGAGGGTGGTACAGTGTCCAGCCCAGAAATCCGACGTTGGTGCCAGGCTCCTTGCCAGTGTGACACGCAGGTAGACTAACGTAGCCAAGGCACAGATCTGTGCCGTTGCCACGGAGACCTCCCTTTGCTACCATTTTCTGATGGCTCTCTCCTGTCCTGCCCTTTGTCTGGAGAATCCCGCAGCACGGGACACTGGGGACTGGCTTTCTCACTCGGTATAAGGCCCCGAGACCCGTCCGAACTGCCATGGGTATCAGTAGCTGGTTTTGAGTTGTTCAGTTGTGTCTGTGGCACAGGTGAACTACAACTTGTGCAACCCAACGTTCACCAGAAGGAATTTTGACTGTCAACCACTTTTGTCTATTATAAAGAAAGCAACTGCTGTATCTGAAACACACGCCTTTACGTACAGGTTTTCCAAGTTAAGCCTGGTTGCAGTGTTAGGTCTCTATTTATTTATTTATTCATTTTTATGGCTGAATGATGTCCCATTGGACGGCTCCACCACTTATTCGAGTATTATCTGGGGATGCTTCTTGGAACAGTCACACATGTTTTTGGAGAAATGCCTAAGCAAGCCCTTCACCCATTTTAAAATGGAGTTGTTTCTGCTTTTGTTGCTAAATTGTAAGTTATTTATATATTCTAAACGTTTGACTCATTAGCAAGAGGCTTTGTCAGTATTTTTTGCCGTTCTGTGGATTGTATTTTTTTCTTCCTTGTAATGATCTTTTTGGTCCACAAAATGTCTTTTGCTGTCTGTTGTTCAGATTGGGTAATTTCCATTGTTCTATGTTCAATCTGTTACTTCATCCTCTGTCTTCTTCATTCTGCTGGTGAGTCCACCCAGT